TATGATTGCTAATCGTATATGTAATTTATCATATTGATGATGCCTGTAAACTGGCGTCTCTCATGTACAAAATGAGAATATACTATTATTATTATTACTCTATCTACTCATCAGAAAGAAGCTTTATCCCTTGGACTCAAATTTTGTGTTCCTCGCACGCAATTTACGGATTTAGCCATCCATGCTGAGTTTGAAAACTTATATGACCAACTCAAACCTCTTACCGCAACATCCGATGAAGATCGGGGTTGGTTTAAGGCCAAGATGGTGGATATAGCTCACCAGTTTTTAAACAACAACCCAAAGGAGAAGAGTATTTTAAATTCCCAACATTTCAAAGCCTTGAAAGAGCTACGGGAAAATTCTAATATAATTATTACTAAACCTGATAAAGGTTCTGGAGTCGTCATTATGAATAAAAGTGACTACAAATCAAAAATGATGTCTATTCTTGATGACAAGAGCAAATTTAGTCGTGATCCCTCCTCAGAAGATATTCAGTTGTTGCGGGGCACAGTGACAGCTAATCTACTGAAGCTTCATGGCCTAAATGCTATAAGTAAAGATAAACTGGACTCATTAAAACCCTCAGATTGTAAATTCCCACATATGTATGGGTTGCCGAAAATACATAAACCCAATAATCCTCTACGTCCTATATTGTCAATGTGCAAATCCCCAACGCATAAACTTGCTAAATGGTTAGTGGAATCATTGACTCCAGTCAAAACACAATTCTGTAAGTATGTGTTAAAAGATACATTTGAATTGGTTGATGTTCTTGATGATAGTAATATTAATATAATGAACAAGAATATGTACTCTTTTGATGTAAACTCGTTATTCACTAATGTGCCTTTGATCAAAACAGTTGACATTTTGTGTGATTATATTTCCACAAACAATTTTTTCATCCCGTTCCCTATATCTTACTTAAAAGATTTATTACTTCTATGTACTAACAATGTTAGGTTTACATTTGAAGGCGACTGTTTCCGCCAAGTTGATGGTGTTGCTATGGGCAGTCCGTTAGGGCCCCTTTTAGCAGATATTTATATGTCGTACATTGAGAATTTATCGGAAGATTTAATCGAAAATGTGCCACTTTATAGAAGGTATGTAGATGATATCGTAGTCATCAGTGATAAGCCTTGTTCTGCCACCTCAATTTTAAATCGAATGAATGAAGTTCAGAATAGCATATCACTTACATCTGTAGAAGAGGAAGATAATTGTTTATCTTTCCTAGACATATTGCTTAGTCGACGGCTTGATGGGTCAATAAAAAGATCTATTTATAGAAAACCTACCTGGACAGGACAGTATCTTAATTACCACAGTTTCTGCCCTATTCGGTACAAAAGAGGCTTAGTAAGGTGCCTCTTCAGTAGAATCCGACGAATATGCACTGAAGACACGCTTGATGAAGAGGAAAGAATATTGACACAAACTCTGGTTGATAACAATTATCCAGAAAAGTTCATCAGGAGATATAAAGTAGTCAGAACACCAAGACCCACTCTCCAACTCGCTCCTAAGAAAGACGTGTACATCAAGCTACCCTATATGGGACATCAAAGCAGCTTGATAACTAGACAAAGGCTGAACGCTGCTGTTAAAAAGACTTTTTATGCAGCTAATATCATAATATTAGAGAATGTAAAGCCATTATATCTATCTAAGCCCTTCGAACATGCGAAAAATGACGTCACATCCCACTGTATTTACCAATTTGAATGTACGTGTGGACACACATACATAGGGAGGACTCATCGATCTCTGCAAGTAAGGGCTTCAGAGCATATTCCAAAATGGCTCCAGAAACAAATGGAATCATCAGAACCTATTAACGGTGAGAACAGGAGACCTAGCTCTTCTATTGCGAAACATATTATAGAGACAGGTCATAAAATTGATGTTGACAGATCTTTTAAACCTATCTATAAAACGTGTTTGGGGCGTATCCTAAAGTTTGTAGAAGCCCTAGCAATTAGAAAGTTCAAGCCACCTTTATGCGTTCAAAAACAATTTGTCATCACACTAAACCTTCCTTGGTAAATTTTGTTTTGATACCATAGCAGATGTACTATTACCTCTGCTATTTGGTTTAGTGGTCTTCATTTTTATTTTTTGACCTTGAATATGTCCTTTTAACTTGACCTAAGTCTATTTTTCTCACCTCTTACCTCTTTATTAATTTTTTATATATATATTCCTATGACAAGTCCGTGTGTGATCAGATTGTTCGAAATGTGTTGCGCAAATACATTACACGATTCAGACAAATTACGTCTTCTTATTGCATTATCCGAATTGTCTTGGCTGCAGACAACAAGCTTAGGTCCACGAAACCAAGAGCTTCGGCATACCACTGCCTCATTTTTCCCATCAATCAGTGCAATACTGTATTTGCCCCTTTATTCTGAAAGGAACGGTACATTAGTAAATGAAGAACGAAATACCTTAAATTCTCCTACTGGAATGTATAGAGAGTCTAAACTCAAACTGATATGCTAGCAAACCCAACCCACTTTGTCGATCATGTCGGCTCTTACGTATGAACCACATTAACTGCAACCGACGCCAATGGAACAACACAAATTAACAATGGCAACAGCTTATCTAGCCGATGTGTGAGGCATTGGGATGAAAAAGTTGAAGTGATTTGTGGGTATTACAATGCACTTATATTTAATTGTGTTAATTGCAACCCATTCAGTGTCACCTGAGAACTGGCCTGATTTGTATATATCAAGCTTCGTTGATTCAAAAGGCTTGTTAAAAAATGGTTGCTTATCCAAACAAGGTCTGAATTTGAATACATTGCCCTCACCCACACCACAGATCATCCCAGGTACTCCATTTACTACTACGAATCGGTCAGTCGAAACAGTTGAATAGTAAGTCTTGCCAACACAAAATGACTGCTTTGCTAAATCAACTGTAACGCATGGCGGGGTTAGCTCAGCAGGTGACTTACCTGCATTTGTAGAGCTCGCAAACACGCATCTTTCGACTTCTCGAGAGGCTACTTGTTTTGCTACCCTGAAGCCACTCCTCACCCTTCCCTTGATTTGGCACAAATGTGACTCATACGGGAAGGCTGAAAAGGTATCCAGACAACCGTGTTCAGAGACGTCCTCAGCTAAATGCTGAAGAGCATGCACATTGTAAACCAACTCATCAGGGTAGAGGCTGTCGAAACATAGTACATACTGCCTGAGTCGTTGTTTTACGGTGTCGCACAATTTAAGGTGGTAACGAGGATGATATAAAATGTAGACACTCGTGAACAATGTGAGGAATTTTGCGTATAGTGGAGAGGGTAATAGGTCATGTAATACAACTGGGCCCAAATACATAAGAAATAGCCGGCATTCAGTGGCCTTCCAAAACTGAAGAAACTCCAAGCTGTGACACTTCCTTTGGAAGTCCTTAGGAATGCAGCTTTCTGCAGCCTGTAGCCTTTCGTTAATACAAGCAATCGTTTCATTGCTTAATCCGAATTGGCGCTGTTCTGCCAAACGCAACCATATACCCAATTGCCGCCTAACAACACCTAAGCAGACTGAATGCATATAATCTAATGGAAAAATCTTAACCATATCAATTGGAAGTCTCTCAAATACTGATGTGCCATGGGGGTAATCGGCATCTTCCTTACTCCTAAAGCTATTATCTCTCCTGCGACAGCTGCTACCATCTTTAAATACCATGCGCCGTTTTACATAGTTGCCAGTAACGCAACATCTGTCACAACCTTTCCTACTGTTGTGACCCGCTGTAAAAGTGACGTCATATCGTGCAGTCTTATCGCAGATAACACTGTTAAGCCGGAAGCCGATATGCCTCTCATTGATTTGTAAACCAAGTGCATATAAGTGCTCCATGTTAGTTACAACTGGCAATAAAAAATTATTGAAGTCAGACAGTTTATGAAAACCACCATAAACTCCAATAAGAAATATATCACTAAGAAACGGTTTCACCAGTTGACCCAATATCGGCCAAACTTGCTGTGTACCATTGTTAAACAGTGACAATCCATCAACATTCAGCTGCAGATTAACGCAATCAAAAGATGCAAACTGACACCAACAACTCAGTATAGGCGTAAGTATACTTCGCAAACCAATATGATAGTAAACTCCACTACCAATAACAGTTGAGGGGCATGACTGGCTAGTTTTGAGAATGTGTCTTATATTGGTTGGTAATCTTTGAATATGCCGCTTGAACAATCGCATAATCTTTCCACCATCAACAATGGATGTTTTAGTGGTCATCATAAGCTTTAAGGCAATCCTCCTATGTTCTGCCTTTGAATTGCGTTCTTTTGCCTTATCGGAACGTATCTCATGGGATAACAGAGCGCCCGCAGCATTACCTTATCAAATAGTCTTCACATGAAATACTAAGAAACCAACTTGGTAAAGTGATTTGCATGTCACTTTGCACGTTTACGACGCTACAAGAAGTTTCATCTACTAGACATTCACCAGCCTCGACGCTGAAATCGGGAAGTATCATCTTGGCTACGTCACCGAGCAACTCCGCCTTCAATCTCTTAGTTCTTCTATACAATGTGGATCGGTGGCCTGTCTCTTTTTCAAACAAACCTAAAGCACAAGGCTATATTAAAGAGAATAAAGTACTTCTAAGACGTCTAGGGGTATTCATATTACTACCACTTGGTACTACTTCACTTTCAGTATCCATTTTATTACCTTAAAAAAGACATTACTACAAATACTTAACTCACCTAGTCAGGGGTGCACGACGAAGAATTTGAAATCGCGGCTTCGGAAGTCAAACTTAAGTTTGAATTCACATAAACAAACGTGTCAAAATGATTGAAATGAAATCATCACCATTTGTCTTCATGCCACTTCACAATGATTACAGACACATTGTATAATATTCAAGCTGAAATGTTCCTCACCTCATGCATTCCCCATCTTAGTATTACTGCGCTACAAAAACAAATTCACCCCATTCTTCCCATGTTTCCCCTGTTTCCCATATTTTCCCACATTTCCCGCGTCTCCAGAAAATAGTTGCCCACTTCTTCCCACTTTACCCATGTTACAAAAGAAAACAGCCCACTTTATCCCACTTTGTCCACATTTGAACGGAAAACTGCCCACGTTTTTACCCACATATCCCAGGTCCAAAAAAAGTAACCAACTGGGTAAATATTCAAACTTTATGCTACTTTGATTAAGTTACCCAATAATATTCACTTTTTTAGTGGGTCCACACGCATATCACATCTGTAAAATCTATACATGCGTTAACTTGTCTGCTTAAGCTGAAAAAATGTAATGTTTATGCGACTTTTATTACTATCATTTCAAAGCCCGCCTTAGTAACGCGCACTACGTATTAGCCGCAGCGTTTACGAAGAGTAAAATCTACCAATCACAATATGCATACATGACCTTGAAGTGCTCAGCCTCTCCATAAGGTCGTGTGTGCCTCTATCCATTGCCCGTGCATTGCAGATCTCAAGGTAGTCAGTTCGCCCTAGCGACTGTGATACTTTTAACAAGCTTAAGTGCAAGTGATAAAATTCAATCTTGTGAGAAGGATTCGTATGCCCATAACACAATTTTCGTACCATCATGTTCTAGAACGTTCATGTACATGATCTAGATAAATTAGCTGAGTGGTCGAAACTGTGGACTTTGGAAACTAATTCTAGGAAAAGTGCGGTAATGCATATAGGTCAAAAGTCATATGTGTCGTACTCCCTAGTGGACACAGAACTATCTGATGTTAACGTACAGAAGGACCTAGGAATCATTGTCAGCGATGATTTGAAAACACCTGCGAATCGCAATGCAGTCGCAGCTAAGGCTTTTCGAATGCTATGGGCACTCCGTAGAGCTTTCAAACGATTAGATGAGTGTATGTTCCTCACACTCTACGCAACCAATGCTAGGCCTCACCCGGAATACTGCATACAACGGCTAGTCCACGCTTCAAGAAGGAGGGACATATCTTGGAAAGAAAAGAAAGGGCAGTGGCCAAATTAGTTAGCAGTATATTACACCTTCCTTATGATAAAAGGATGGATCATTTAAATATCTTCCTGTTATCATACCGAAGGAAGGTAGGTGACTTAATTTTAGCATACCGTGTATTTAAGGGTACCCTTAAATACACGTGATTTAGGAATTGACCCTTCTAACCTTTTCTCCTCTTCTAGGATACATTTGAGGAGTCACCTCGAAAAGGTGCTCAAACTGAGGACAATTAAAATACGTGCGTAATTTAGATTCCCTCACTGAGTGGTGAACTACTGGAACTCCTTACCTGATTCAATAGCATCAGTTCCATTGGTGAACGTTTTCAAGAAAAAGTTAGATCTCTGCAGAGATATATTTTGCAACGATTAAAGCAGATTCAGATGATAAGGATAGAAGGCTCTTGTGGCCTGTGTTAATCCTTGCAAAGTATATCTCTGCAGAGATCTAACTTCTCTTTGGAAGCGTTCACCGATGGAGCTGATACTACTGAATAAGGTAAGGAGTTCCAATCGTTGACCACTCAGCGAGGGAATCTAAATTACGCACGTATTTTAATCGTCCTTGGTTTGAGCACCTTTTTGCGGTGACCCCGTAAATGTATCCTAGAAGAGGAGAAAAGGTTAGAAAGGTCAGTTCCTAAATCACCCTTAAGTATACGGTATGCTAAAATTAAGTCGCCTCTCTTCCTTCGGTATGATAACAGGAAGAGATTTAAATGCTCCATCCAGCAGGCCACAAGAGCCTACTGTTCTTATCATCTCAGTCAGAACATGCTTTTAAAGCTTTATCTGTTTTCTAATACTGAAGTGTAACCCTGTGCCATAATTTTCATAGTTCCTTATCTCAGTATCATTCTAGACCCCGTTATATTTCGTAATTCTGAGGTCATCGTCATTCTTTTGCCAAGCAGCAAGTTATCACCCTAAATTGTTCGTATGTTTTAAACTGACGAATTATAAGCTATAAAGGTTCTTCAGTTTCTCAGATCCCAACGTTGATGTCAATCGTGTCACGACCTGTTTCCGTCTGGGTGTCCAGGCAGTAGCCTAACCCTCACAGAAACTGGTAAAAGCGAACATAGGCTACCATATCCCTGAATCTGATTAGTTCTTGAAAGTCAACTTTTGAAAGACCTTGACTTTAGCTACAATGCTTTAACCTCGCCACTGTAAGATTTTGCGTGACGCATCTCTTGATTCTCATAACGTACTAAGTTTATAATAGAATAATAACTGTCGTGGCACGCAGGCTGAATCCTCTTCGATACCTCCAAAGTGTGTAACTGGAGGACTTGGGACAGATATTTCGGAATTATGCTTTGGACATCGGAATTTGTAAGCTACTGTTGATGGACACAGCAAATTCTTAAAGTTATTACTACCGTAATCGAAATTCACGAGACTAGGAAACACAGGTCACATTTGAAGGTTCATAACTTTAGATAATGTCTGTTCAATGCTTATGAATTGGAAAATCAATTAAATCAGTTATATTAGTAATTCGTGGCTTCTGTCATTCAGCCATATATGAGATAGAGGAATATAACGCATACATGACATCTTGTTAAATGTCTTACTTAATTTCCATGACAGGTGCAAGCCCTAGGCCATTTTTTCTTATTCGATAATATAAGTGTTTGCCTTTTCACTGCTCATGCATTACCATTTCGTCAACCGGGAGGCGAACATAGAGAATCCAACTTTCATACACCATATTGCTGTGATACATAGAATTTAGGCTCCAGTGTGGAAAGCCTCCTACATCTAGTTAGATACTGGATAAATGAATGATTGTGTGTATCTTGTACTGTTTATAGCTTACTTATCTTTTTGCATTTGAGAATAAAGCAAACAGCTTAGTTATCTAGGCACTCCAACGAGCTTCAACGGTACTCTGAAAATATGAGCCAAATAAATGTATACGTTTGAGTGATTTGTCTAACCTTGGCACCTTACTTATTTAGTATTTGTGTTTAACAAAACTTATTTATTTTAATTGATTTATAAGCATTTGTAATGAATGAATTCTAAGTATTTATTAAGAATACGGTTTCAGCTGTGGTGTTATTCCATTTGTGTACTACTATTATGAAGCATATATATATGTATATGGTGGTGTTAAATTATTTTCTCACCTAGAGTAATAGTTCTTTTTTGTCTCTTCTATCTCTCACAGTTCTGTCACCGTATGCTGTGAAAAAAATTGCACAGAATGTCTCATCTGGACTGTAAAGACATTGGTGAAGTTTTACATGACAATGAAGAAGACGTCGTCACTCCTTGGGAAGTATCAACTAGCTCAAGCAGCGGTGTGGATTATGATAAACTTATTATTCGTTTTGGTTGCTCGAAAATCACCGATGATTTGCTTCTGCGACTCTCTAACGTTTGCCCACAACCACTTCACCACCTTTTGAAGCGTAAAATCTTCTTTTCACATAGGTAGTCTAAGATATTTTAAAAATTGCTGTTAAGGGACCTAGAACAGATTATTCTACGGATTGAACAGAAAAAGCCATTCTTCTTGTATACTGGAAGAGGCCCGTCGTCCGAATCCTTACATCTTGGACATGTCGTTCCTTTCATAATAAATAAGTTGTATTAAATTGTACAGTCATCATTTTTCAGGTGGCTACAGGACGTTTTTAATGTTCCCCTCGTTATCCAGTTAACTGACGACGAAAAGTTTCTATGGAAAAACTTATCCATCTCAGAAGTTCGCCATCTGACTCGCGAAAATGCAAAAGATATAATTGCCATGGGTTTCGACCCCAAAAAAACATTTATTTTCAGCGATTTTGAGTACATGGGGTATGTTTCAGTATACATATTTTTGTGATAAATATTTTGATTTTGTATTAATTGTAGGGAACGTCTTTTCAACTGAATTTTAATAATAGGGCTACAAGAAATATAGTTTCTTATCATTATCTAAAGCCACTTACAGCTAGTTCGAGGCAGTTTACCACTCACTAGAATCTTCATCATGCTACATACATAGTTTGAGATTTTTCTCCTAGTTACAGCTCTTAATTTTTTTTCAGTCAGGCTTCGGAAAATATTGTTCTTTATATCATCTGAGCTGTCAGTGACCAACATCCGGTTGTCTCTTTCCTTGCGCAACTGAAAGACGTGTATTTCATTATTGTTATTTTACTTCTTAACGTTCCCAGTGGAGCGTAAGGCTTCAAGCTAAAGCTTTGAAGTTTCAGTAGCGGTGGTATTTATTTTTACGCGATGGGGTTTCTAACCTCATGCTCAACCTTCCCTTTTAGCCAGTCTTATTACTGGCTTAGCAAGGTAAACGAGTGTGTTGCCCAGGGATTGAATCTTGGACAATATACGTGGTTGACGAGCATCCTGCCATTGTGCAACAGACGCAGAAAGATGTAAAAGGTTTCAATAAGTATCATGAGCTTTCGAATTTATACAACAAAATTGAACGATTATTGAAGGCTAAATTGTCTACAGTTAAAAAGACACATATGATTACGGAATTCAGTATGGTTGTTCGAAGAAACAAATGAACTCTTCCAAGAAATAAATTATAGGCTGCTATAAGCAATTCCTGTACTCTTTTCTTATGGTGTAGATGTGGTACTTTCAAGTGTTGAGCACTTAGAACTGTAAATTCTCTGCCATATACATCCTCAACTGATTGAAAATTTTAGTTAGGACCTTTTAACTTGGAACAGAATTCTCCATGTTCCAGGCAATAAGCCACACTTAATGTGAGGTCTCATAAGAATACCCACTATTGTGTTGTCGTACTTCAGTTACTAGTGATTGTGGCTAAGGAAGTCAATTAGTTCAAAGTGATCCTTTTTCTACACTAGCTGACAATGTTTAAAACTGTAACCCTGAATTCCGCATTTTTCCAGTCACTGGCAATACTTGGAAGTTATCTATAATTACGTGTGTGTGGGACGTCCAAGGGTAACATGGAGGAGATCGTGTGAAGAGGAGTTGAAAGAATATGGACTAACATGGATGCAGGCGAAAAGTACAGCAGAAGAAATTGGAGACGTGCAGTTGAAGCCCTATGTTCCACCAGGAACCCAAGGGAGCAATAATAATACATGCTTACAATGTGATTTGTATTCACGTTTTTTGCATCTGCTACCTTAGCGTATTATTATTTATTTGTTTTATTTATTTATTTATTTTTGATTACAGCTTGATTCCACACCGTATTTTTGGTACAAGTATGGAATTTTCAGCGTGGATATCGGTAGCCCAAATTTCGCAGGCCGACCATAGATATCAGGTGTGCGTCGGCGTGGGCTCGAACCCCGGACCATGTGCATGGTCGGCGAGAGTCCTAAACACTGTGCCACCGACGCGAGTGGAACATAGGGCTTCAACAGCACATCCACTTTTTTCCATTTCCCTCCGTCCTCTTCAGCCGGGTCCACGATTGCCCATCATTTTTCGTCTCTTCCTCGCACTATCTCCTCCATCTCACCCTCAGACTGACGACCCACTCGTCGCTTCCCATTGGGATGCCACGGGAGCGATAGCCTGTCATGCGATTTTACTCGATAACCTCAATAAATTATACCCGATCCATCTCCATTTTCTCTTATATATATATATATATATATATATATATATATATATATATATATATATATATGGTGGTCTCTCTTTCTGTTGCTCTCTTAGTCTGTGACCATTTCACTTTGATGAACCTGTCTCCTTTAACAATGTATATTCCCCTTATAGTATATATAATGTGTTTGTTGGTTAGGAATCCAGAGAACGATGCAAAGGCCCTTTTTAGGGCCACTTGTCGTTTCGTCTACCTGTTGGGTTTGCGGCTTCGGCTTCGTCCGGAATTGCCAGACAATTCTGGGTTCCTAACCAACAAACACACATATTATATATACTATAAGGGGAATATACATTGTTAAAGGAGACAGGTTCATCAAAGTGAAATGGTCACAGACTAAGAGAGCAACAGAAAGAGAAACCACCATATATATATATATATATATATATATATATATATATATATATATATGGATACATATCAGGTAGTCCTAGCATATAGCCTCCTATAGCTGCTTCTAGTTCTACCAGATGAAACGCAAGGAGACAGCTGCGTATGGAGAGGATGCTCGGGGTCCGACAATATTGTATTCGCTAGTTTCTTACATGACATTATATGTCTATCCACAATAGTGTTAACCAGTTGGTTTAACGATATCCCACTTGCCCTACTAACGGCTTTTAGTGCCCTTCTCAGCAAAGCAAAGTCTTTCTTAAGTAGTCCAGGAAAGATTAATGTGGAGCAGTAAAGGGGGATGGGTAGAATACAAGAATTTACAAACTGAGAAAGCAAAGACTGCTTTATGTCAGACTGCCTAAATTTCCTAACGTAGAACGTTAAGCGAAGCATCTTTCTAGCAACTAGCAAGATGTGGGAAGACCAGGAAAGATCGGTGGAAAAACAGCCCAAGGTACTTGACATTCGATGTATTTTCAACATCTGTGCCGTCAATGATAGTTGGGCCATGTGAGCTAACTAGTCGCTGTAGGTCACGTTTACGTCTGAAAGTGAAATTGACTACCTGACATTTAGACGGATTAAGCTTAAGTCCGTTTGAAGAGGACCACTGACTAATTTCTGACAGAAAGTTATTTAATTTGGAACAATCTGACTGAGAGTTGACAGGCATAGAAACAGAGAGGTCATCGGCATACTTAACAAAAGTGGCTACATCAGAATGAGGCAAGTCATGTAAGAAAAACGAAAACAGAAAGGGAGAAAGAACAGCACCTTGAGGAACACCAGCTAAAGTAAGTGAGGTAGTGGAGGACTTTCCATTGTAGACGGTGTACTGCTTCCTATCAGAAAAATAGGAATGCAACTACTTATTTGTCCAGCTCTCAACCTATGATGCAGCAAACTTACTTAGCAAGAGAGACCTGGGAACAGGGTCAAATGCAGATGTATATTCAAGGAAGGCACAGCGAACGTATTTAGCTCCTTTATCTAAACTAGAGACTATACGATGGTGTAGGACAACAGCGGCGTCTAACGTACACCTACTATGTTTATAGGCAAACTGGTTGGGGTCGTTCAAAGGCTTTAAAGAGGGGTCAAGATTAAGTAAAATAAATCTTTCCATAACTTTCAAAAAGGTGAGGTAATTGCAATGGGTCTAAACTTAACATTAGGTCCACCTGTTGATTTAGGCACTGGAACGATCTTGATATTTTTTTTGAACGTTAGGTTGATGGTCGGTTTGTTCCACTGTAGAGTTTCTTGTTGCCAATTCTTCCTGGCCGACCTGCCATTTGATCTTCAGCATGGAGCCAACGAAGGTAGCTGTTGATAAAAGTCTCAGACTTGTTGGAAATCCTTTCCGTGACAGATAGTGCATGTTTCTGACCCGTACAGACGAACTGACTAACTTCACATTTGTGTTGGAAATTCGAATCTTGTTCATATGCTGGCTGAGCGCAGATTTCCAAATTGATTTCAGGTTGGTGAGTGCGTATGGTGCCTTTCCGATTCTGGTCTGCTTTGACATCATCCGTTCCACCTGTGGTTGAAACCATGCTTCCCAGATAATTGAAGGAAGTAACCTCTGTCATGTTTCTCTCGTTGATGGTGATTAGTGCTGGTTGTTGCTGTTGGTTGGTTATCTTCATCACTGCCTTCTCTATGTTCATATTAGTTTGTTTATTAAATGTATCACACAGTGAAACAGTATTGTATACTGAATGACGTTTCGAACACAATTTATTGTTCATAATCATATCAATTTTGGTCACCCGACTTCGAGATTTGATTTTTATAGTTTTTTCTGTCTTCTCCTATTTGTCGTATGGGCAGTAGAATTTTCCATATATCTGGGACCGGTGTTAAATCATTCCTATTACATGTATTTGCAGTTGATTCGATAAACAAAGCTTCTGTTATCAATCTCTCCCTATACCCAGATTTTAAAACTGTCATCCTATTGTATGGTTGTGTGTAACTACATGTAGTGCTATAGCTGAACTACTCTAGATTTCTTATCTGGGTCAACCAATCTAGATTTCGCTAGGTTTTTATGTTCGGCTAGTCTAACTCACTGGCCCTGTTCTACTAGTTTGACCTATGTATTTGACCTCACAATCATTGCAGGGTATTAGATAAACCAAATTGTTTTGTTTTAATGGCTCCACAGGATTGATCCTTTAACCGACAAAGCTTGTTGCTAATTGAGTTTGTGGTTTTGAATGCCAGCCACTTTTATTCCTGCCTTGTTAAGAATTCTGCGTAAGGTTCCCGAGGTTCCTTCCTTGTATGGAATTACTGTTGATGATTTACATTCCTTATTGTTGGTGTCGTCATTAATATTATTATTATCATTATTATTATAATCACTATCGCTATTATCATTATTTATTTTATTTTTACATTTACATATTTCTTGACTAATTTACCCGGGTAATTATTAAGTTTCAAGGCTTCTTTTAAGTGTATCACTTCCTGTCTTAAATTTTCCTTGGCACTACTTAGTTTTTGTGCTCTGTCATTTAAACATTTCACTAATCTTACTTTTACTGACATAGGATGGGATGGTCGGAAATCCAAATATCTGTTTGAATGTGTGGGTTTTCTGTAAATACTAGTGTTTAGCTTCCCATTTTCTTTATGTTCAGCTGGAGTCCTGTCTTTGCTACCTGCATCTTCAGTCAGTTTGTTGGTTTATGCCTGTCTGCCTGCGAGTCTTCGCACGAAATCCACACATTCTAGAGTCTTTTTATCGGTCAGTCCAACGCATTGGTGTCTCCTCACTCCCTGTGCATAGTCTGACGCATAATCCAGTCCACTACAATCAAGAATATCATCGGTGATAATAGGCACTCGACCTTGTCTTGCTCCTGTATTGACGTTGAATGCGTTTGAGTTTTCCGTTGTGGACCATCTGACACGTAGCACAGTCATGTAGCTGTTGAATGAGGTTGATAAAGATCTGGGCACTGCATGCCGTAGTGTTGAATTAGTTTCCAAATTACTTCTCGATCAACGCTGTCTGTCGAAGGCCTTCTGAAAGTCGATGAAGTTAAGGTAGAGGTTTGACTGCCATTCTATGCTTTGTTCAATGATGACGCATAGAGTTGCGATTTGATCAGCACATGATTTACTTTTCCTAAATCCAGTGCATCTTTTATTCTCTCCAGGATGACGCGACTTAGTATTTTACTCGGTGTGAACGAAAGCATGATTCTGTGCCAGTTCTTGCAGAGGCGTAAATCGACCTTCTTTGGGGGCTTTACAAGGCAGCTAGCCTTTCTTCCGATCGGTAGGCACCTTTCCCTCCTTCCAAACCTTTTTTTATTACAGCTTGATTCCATACCGGATTTCTCGGTACAAGTATGGAATTTTCAGCATGTGATATTGGTACCCCAAATTTTGCAGGCCGACCATAGATATCAGGTGTGCGTCGGCAGGGGATCGAACCCCCGACCATATGCATGGTCGACGAGAGTCCTGACCACTGTGCCACCGACGCACAAATAATGTCGTGAACATACCTGCCGCAGTCTCTGGGTCTGTTTTCAGTGCTTCGGTGGGAATTATGTCTGTTCCCTGCTGCCTTCCCGGCCAGTATTCAGTAGCTTGATCGCATTTTGGATTTCTGCTTTCGTTGGCGGATTAGTGTCCACATGTAGGCGATTCTGTGCGTGGTGTTGGTGGTGGTGTATTTCTGGGAGTGTTGCAGGTGATGGTCGATTCAAGAGTCCTTCAAAGTGATCAGCCCATTGTTTGATCTGTTTCTTCTCCTTGGTGGCCAGATTCCCTTGAGCATCTTTTATTGGTTTCATCATCTGGGTTGATCTCTTCCCGGACAGAGACTTGGTTATCTGATATAGTGTCCTGATGTTTCTTTTGCCTGCGGCCTGTTCTGCTTCAGTTGCCAGTGTGTCGTAGAATTGTCGTTTGTCTTTTCTAGCAGTCTTCTTTACTTCTTTATTCAGTACAGCGTACATTGAACACAGCTTCTCCTTCTGTTGTCCATTTTTGCATTGAGTCATTTCTTTCACCGTCCTCCTCTCTTCTATTAGCTTCTAGGTAGCGATTCTTTGTCGTGCATCTTCTTTCGTCTTATAACAGCTGTACACGTTTCCTTGGATATCACCTTCAGAGAGTTCCAATGTGCTTCCACACAGGTTTCCTCAGTGATGCCATGTAGTGTATCCGACCTCGCTCTGATGCATGCAGTGAAGATATCTTTTGTAGGTTTTTCCTTCAGTTTCTGAATGTTGAACTTGAATTGTGGTCTGTTTCCATTTGTGTTCATGGATTTCGGCTTCACATTGAAAGTTCGTTGAATTAGATGATCGTCTGAGCTTGCCCTTATCTGCTCCCCCCATCGACTTTGTGTCCAACAGGCTGTGCCTCTACTTCTTCGAGCGACTCAGATGAAATTTATCTGGTTTGTGGTGTATCCGTCAGACGAAATCCATGTTGCCTCATGTATATCCTTGTGCACACTCTCCATCCGATCACCAAATCGTTGAAATCGCAGTCTGCGGAGAGTTCTCCATTGTCACTCATTTCTCCGAGATCCTCTCGACCCATGATGAGTTCTCTTCCTGTATTATCTGCTCCCAGTTTGGCTTTCATTCATATCACCCATAAGGATTTTGATATCGTCATTTAGGATGTTGTCCATTACTGTTTGTAGTTGTCTGTAAAAGTCCTCCTTCTCTTGTTCGGCGTTGTTTGTAGCACTGTGCGTAGCATGGGGTAGTTGTGACCTTCCTTCCTTTCGAGTTGAATCTTTCCGTCATAATCCTGCAGGATGAGATTAGTTCCTACTGCATTACGGCTTTGGTTGCCACTGTTGACATCATGATTGCCACCCACTGTCTCTGTGTGCTCGTGGTTGTTGTCTGGGTGACCAAACCGGAGAACATTATTGACTCTCCCGTTAACACTGTCGTCAATCTACATCCATTCCATCTGCTTTCGCAGATACCCAGTACTTCTAAGTCATATCTTCGCATCTCTTTGGCTACCTGAGCAGCCTGTTTAGTCTCGCACATTGTACGGACATTCCACGTCCGCATTCTTATTCTTGCTTTCATCGAGAGAAGACACATCAGATGACTGGCTTCCCGGAGGCTTTCACCAGCCCGCGTCATTTCGCTTCTCCGATTCGAACGAAGAATAAGTTTGCTTTTTAAATTTTTGTATATTTATTGTGCGTTGAAGTTTCTGTAGCAGTTTGATTGGTTTTATGGTGTAGGGTCACTAGCCCCACACCCATCCCTCCCTTTTTATCCGGGCTTGGGACTGGCTCAAAAACTAGCTATCTTGGAAACCAGGAGAGGTTGCTGCCTTGATATAGTGATTACTTTTGTATATTTCAGTGAACTGATCAGCTATGCTGACTTAAACAACCATTCTTTGTGATCCTAGTGTGTCAGATTAAGTGGAACAGTGTTAAACAGCTTTCATAGTGTGATAAATAGTTCAGTGAAAAGAATATTCGATTTATTGATGATTATTTCTTTAGAATTTACAACTAGCTCCTAAAATCTTAGGCAAAATCCACATATACTGGAATACACTGGAAATATGGGTAAGTTTTTCGAAGGTAATGGTAGTTTTGTATAAACTTACTACACTGAATATTCAGTTGCTCTATGACATATTTTCACGGATTGTCGGCCAACAAGTATTACCTTATATGACTTTGTTTTTCTCAGCCTTTGCTACGTCTGTTTAAACATTCGTTTGTATAATCATACTTCTCTCCATTATCCTTGTTGTCACAGATAGTTCCATTTTTCTATGTGTTATTAATAGATTTATAATTATTACTGCCATTATGAATAATCATACAATTTGTGTGCACAATCTTATCATGCAGTTGACGAATCACCATGATTGACTTTTATTTAATATTTATTTGTAAAGTTATGTATATTAGAAGACATTTTGATGAAATCTAATTCAAAACAGTACTGCTGGCGTACCTGCGTTCTAAATTTTACAACGGGAATCTTCAATATTTTAAAAATGTATATTTCATAAGCTTAATGAAAGAATGTATATATTTGTATTACAAATTTTTTAGCTGTAGCAACTGAATACACTGACGCTTCCTAAACTTTCCCAACTTTTATGATACAATTAAATTATTATTTAACGAATATATGCAGAGTTATCGTTCATGTCTTTCAATTTAATTTGACTAAAAACAAACAGAATTTATCGGTGGTTCAGCAATAGAATCGTCGCCATGAATGTGGTCTGCTTTTTAATTCTTGGCCTACGCACTCTTAAACCTCATTTTAGACGGTAGCAAGCCGTGAAAAGAGGGAAGATTAAGCATGAGGCTAGCAACTTTCCCGCATAAAAACATCACTGCTACTGAAACTTCAAGGCCCCAAGCCTGAAACCCTATGTTCCACTGGGAGTGCGGTGAATGAAAAGGGTAAAATAGAAGAAAGAAAATGAACTCATTTTATTACAGAAGTTAGTGTCACAGGTTACAATCATGCAACTGTACATAAATAGCATAATCATTTTTGATTTTACAGGACAATTAATTTTAGTGTACTGATTTTGTTATATATTCGACATTCTTTTGCATAATAAATGAATTTTTGTAAAATATAGCCTCACTATGTGATTTTATGGAATATATAGATTCGTAGAGTATTTACACAGACTGCTTTTATTTCATATTTGAATATATATATATATATATATATATATATATATGTGTATACTCCTCACCCTCATGTGTTACACGTGCAAGGCAGTCGCTTTCCTTCACAAGAAATCTTAACTAAAATAGGATTACTTTGGAAAGTAGTTAAGAGTGATCAAACCTATTCATGAAGTCTTCAACTATTGGCCTGAGCTGCTTAGAGAGATGTAGACTATTTAGCTGGAGTCCATGTGACTCAAAATTAGCGACTCGAGAGCTTGTTTGGCATAGCTCATAACTGTTCTCAATAATGCAGATGCACTAACCCTTTGGAAACTTAGATCTGTTCAATTTTCATTATAATTCATTTGATTATTATTTCTTCTGCACATTTTGGTTTGTTATAGTTTCCTTAAGTTTCTTTCTTTTCCCTACCTTTATGTGTGCTTTTATGAACAGTGTGCGTGTGTGTGTAAATTTGAATTACTACACTTGCACAAAGTTCTATGATGGAAATTTAGTTGTGTTATGATATTATTTACCACATTGATTTTACTTTAATTTCTGATCTTTAGTTTTCAATCTATCACCCAACTTCTGCTATGTTTTCCTCAGAAAGAACAAACTTTACATCCATCTGTTTTTGTGTGATGCTCTTGGTATTTTAAATCATATTCAGTTTGTATTTACATCTGATAAGTCAAGCAGCTGAAAATCTGTTAGGCCCAGGCATTTATGGAGAGGAATGTTTCATCTGTCATGATATTTTGATGAATTGTAAATAATTAGCATGTAATTATTTCCAAAATTTAAGATTTTCTATATTTTCAAAATGTTCCGAGTAGAATTTGCATAGATTTACATTCATTGTGTTTGATGTAATATTGCATTTTCAGAGCATGCCCAGATTTTTATCGAACTGTTTGTCAAATACAACGCTTAGTTACTTACAATCAAGTTCGTGCAATCTTTGGCTTTAATGATAGTGATTGTATTGGAAAAATATCTTTTCCAGCCGTGCAAGCAGCTCCTTCATTTGCCCAGTCTTTCCCATCTGTGTTTAAAAATCTTAAGAAACCAGAGGAGGTGGGCTGTTTCATCCCATGTGCTATTGATCAAGATCCATACTTTAGAATGACAAGAGATGTTGCTCCTCGCCTTGGTCTGCCTAAACCATCTCTTATGTATTCAGTATTCTTTCCTGCCTTACAAGGAAATCAGACAAAAATGAGTGCGAGTAATCCCAACACATCAATATTTTTAACAGATACACCAAAACAAATAAAAAATAAGGTAAATCACATTTTTCATCATACCATTTTCAGTTAATATTCATCAAATCGAAATAGTTCGTACTTCGTGTAATTTTCTCATATATTGGCAGATTGTTGTTCAGGATTCATATTCATGTCACTTGCTTTGTTCTAAATATGTAAATGTTATTTTTTTTTTATTCCTTCACGTTCCCATCGGAACATGCTAGATGCTTGAAGTTCCTGTAACAGTGTTTAATTTTACAGGATGGGGTTGCTAGCCTCATGTCCAACCTTTCCTCTTCATCAGCTTTATTTCTGGCTTAGTGAGGTAAAGGAGTGCGCCGGCCGGGGATAGAACCCCGGACCATGTGCATGGTCGGCGAGCATCTTAACCGTTATGCTGTAGTCATTTAGTGAAATACAAGTTTCCTGGATATAGTTATCAACACACAATAAAAACAAATGTTTCATTACCAACAATTAGCTTTAAAGGGATGCAAGAGAAGCGGTAAGCAATGACTTAATTGTCCAACGGGTTATCATTTCTCTCGGTTGTTTAGTACGAAATAAGTAAAGTGACTTTGAAGAAAAGTGCGTGAAAGTTTAACGCTTTATCTGATGGACCATATCTTCCAACAACACAAACTTTACACACTTAGTGTATTTCATAACCTAGGTAGCAGAAACCAGCGTAACGGTTCATGATTTCTTATATCGATGCCCATGTTATGATGAAGCTAAACCGACCTTCGTTACTCTGAAATCAGTGTGGAAATCTACTGAACACAGCACAAAGAACAAGATCTGGATCTTCAACATTACTGCCAAATCATAGCTTCTATATGGTTCAGAGACTTAGCGCGTTATGAAAAGCATTTCTAGCAGACCAATCCAGACTTTTATCAACAGCTGAATTCGCGCAGCACTGAAGAACAGATGAACCGTCAAAAAGTATGAACAACAAGGGACTCTAGCAACGAACTAACCAAGAACCTATCTCCCAATAGATATACAGTAGAAAATTTGTATTTTTATTATGGCTTGATTCCACGCAGTATTTTTGGTGCAACTATGGAATTTTCAGCATGTGATATCGGTAGATGCATACTTTTAAATAACGAAAAGTACCCATTTATTAATAAGTGAAAACAGTTTTTTTTGTTCAGCGAAGAAACTTCTTTTCAACGACTTCATTTTCAAGCAGTACAGTCGTATTTATATTACAGAAAAAGTTATTAAGTGACACTGTGGTGAGATCAGGCCTTGAGAAAATATGTACAAGGCTGATTCAACAACCAATCACAGCAGACTTAACCTGGCAAAATATGATTCGCAGATAGAGAACTCTATTTTTCGAGGAATCCCGAAACAACCAATAAGAAGCCTGCGTTTGTCTGCCTGACTTCTAATAAACAACCAATCAGAGGACTGCGCTTGTCTTCTTGCATAAGCTATAATAATGTATAGGAAATATATAAAAATACGTGTTGATTTTCGTAATAAAACGATCTGTTGCCTGGCCCTTGTCCTCTGTTGTTATATTTGGTGTCGCTGCCTACCGACAAATGGAAAGTCTATGCCCTGCTGTTTTTGATGGAGACATATGGATCTTCGGGCAGGACTTCAAGGCTTCTGCGCAGTTGAGTGGCGTTCAAGATCTGTCAGCGATGGAGCTGCTACTTGGGACGCTACTGGGAGGTCGGGCGAAAGCAGCATATGAAAGTGTGAAACATATATATCTGATTAGAATAACGATAACTAAAATGTTATAAGGAGTAGAGTTGAAGTGGATGAATTACAAAATTATTAAAGATTGTTTTATAAGTGAATTGATATCAAAAAGGTTTTTTAAAAATGTCAAGCGTTGTCTAAAAATTTTAAAAATTAAGACTACGATTACGATAAGAGTAAAGACGTGAAGTGGAATGAATTCAAGTGGTAAAAAATATAATATAATAAAAACTAGAAAAACATTACTGACCAAGGTAAAGAAAGGGGTTTGACAAAACGTTTTTGAGCACATAATTTAGGTTTCTGTTCATATATAGTTAAAGCTTCGGTTATGCATAAGTGAAGAAAACACTAACTTTTCGAGCGATTCGATTGCGCCACGTAGAAGGGATGAATGACCAGACTCTAACAGGTGATCACAAATAGACGACTTCGCAGTTCTACGTCCGCCTTTCATTAACCAAACCGGATAGTGTTCAGCTACACGTTTTCGGAAAGTACGCTTACAACGTCCAATATAATCAGCTCCACAGAAGCAGGTGAAAGAGTAAATGGACATAGATGTGGACATAAGCGGTAATCTATTCTTGACGCATTGAACCAGTTAGATTAAATCTATGTAAGCATTATCTTTCCGACACTTTTGACTTTGTCAGTTGCGTTGATGAAATTAATGCGACTGGTAAGCATATGATTTCGTTAGATGTTTGTTCATTGTTCACAAATGTACCACTAGTAGACAATATCTGCTATCTATGCGAGTATATTGATTTAAATAGCATGAACATCGGCTTACCAACTGAATATCTGAAACACCTATTATTGAGATGCACACTAAATGTTCAATTTAGATTTAATGAAGTCATCTACAATCAAAAGGACGGTGTCGCCATGGGGTCTCCTTTAGGACCGCTCTTAGCGGATGTCTTCATGGCAAGCTTAGAGAACGGCCCACTAAAGGAAACCATCGAGTGTGTTTATGTATAAAAGATATATAGATGTTACCTTCATTGTCTGTGAGGAAAACGCATCAACTGCCGAACTTCTTGGAATATTTAATGGTTCTCACCCATCTTTGCTTTTCACGGTCGAAGAAGAGTCGAATTCCTCGTTTCACTTCCTTGACGTTAAGCTAGATAGAAGAGAGAATGGAACGCTGGTAAGGTCTATTTACCGAAAGCCAACATTCCCAGGGCAGTACACTAACTTCGACAGTGGGGTACCTTTAGGGAGAAAGAGAAATCTTATTCATTCCTTATGCTCCAGAATTCGTAAAATCTGCACTATAGAGACTATCAACAGAGAACTAGATATGCTTCATTCAAATCTCCTTAACAATGGATATCCTGCAAGGTTTCTTGAACGTAATATCAAGAAAGAATCCGCTACTAGACAAATCACAGTGCCAAAGGAAAAACTGTTTATGAGTCTTGCATTAAAGGTGATACCATTTCTGAATTGATTAAGAACCGTTTATCTAAATTAAATGTATTAAACACTCGTTTCATGCAGCTGACTTGCAACTGGTTATTACCAGCCGAAATATGATTAGACAATGCGTCAAGGATAGATTACCGCTTATGTCCACATCTATGTCCATTTACTCTTTCACCTGCTTCTGTGGAGCTGATTATATTGGACGTTGTAAGCGTACTTTCCGAAAACGTGTAGCTGAACACTATCCGGTTTGGTTAATGAAAGGCGGACGTAGAACTGCGAAGTCGTCTATTTGTGATCACCTGTTAGAGTCTGGTCATTCATCCCTTCTACGTGGCGCAATCGAATCGCTCGAAAAGTTAGTGTTTTCTTCACTTATGCATAACCGAAGCTTTAACTATATATGAACAGAAACCTAAATTATGTGCTCAAAAACGTTTTGTCAAACCCCTTTCTTTACCTTGGTTAGTAATGTTTTTCTAGTTTTTATTATATTATATTTTTTACCACTTGAATTCATTCCACTTCACGTCTTTACTCTTATCGTAATCGTAGTCTTAATTCTTAAAATTTTTAGACAACGCTTGACATCATTGAATTGAATTTTTTTTGATTTTCCCGTCGATTGATTGGACCGAAGTGCTCGGTCTCAGGTTGACATGTCGGCTTCTTGTGCAGATGCTTCGACAATGTCTGGGTATTCAAGTGGATAACTCTTTGGCGTTTGAAACTATGGGTACTGGGTTCGAGCCTCGGTGGGAACATCATCACTCACTGAGAAATGCAGGTACATCCAGCTGACGAGTCCCAAATAGGACGAAATGCGCATCCTGGATTCCACTGCTAGCCACCATCCACCAATTGTAAACGCTTGACATTTTTAAAAAACCTTTTTGATATCAATTCACTTATAAAACAATCTTTAATAATTTTGTAATTCATCCACTTCAACTCTACTCCTTATAACATTTTAGTTATCGTTATTCTAATTACATATATATGTATATTGATTGAGCAATTATTTAGTGTCACTTAATAACTTTTTGTGTAATATAAATATGACTGTACAGCTTGAAAATGAAGTCGTTGAAAAGAAGTTTCTTCGCTGAACAAGAAAAACTGTTTTTACTAATGATATTGGTAGCCAAAATTTAGCCGGTCTACCATGGATATCAGGTGTGCGTTGGTCGGAGATTGAACCGCGGACTATGTGCATGGTCCCCGAGTCTCCTCATCTCTATGCTACCAACGCACAGATAAACTGAACATACTTTGAGGAAACCGTTGGGTAGCATGACTCACCACGTCCTCGAGTGGAACTCGAATGGAAACCACAAGTTGGACGCCTTTGGGTGACATGGAGGAGGAAATAAAAGGTTATATTTTACCGTGGAGCCAGCTAAAAAGAACTGTAGAGAACACAGTGAAATGGAGATATGTTGCTGAAGCCCCATATTCCATTCGAAACCAAGGTGAATAATAATACACAATGTTTTGATGAACTAATACTCACTGATTACATCAGCGGGTGATCGCTCCAAAATCACGAATAGGTTTACTTTAGAATTCATGGGCCATTGTGTCAGGTCTCAGTGACTGAGTGGTCTACGGCCTTGCGGTCTCATTAGCAGATCCTGTATTCGAAACCCGGTGGGTGTGTACTGCCGATGAGTCCAGTACTCCCTGTTTTTCAATACTTCCCTAGCTGATATTAATCCGTAGTCAAATTTGAACAACGAATGACTAACTCTTAAAACTGGTAATAAATTAACTGTATTTGTGTACAACAATGTCTGAAATATTATACAGAGTTTGCAGTTCAAAGCTTTTACTTATGTTTTACGGGTTGATCACGGATTGATATCAGTTAGAGAACCATTGAAAACCAGGGAGTACTGGACAGCTGCTGTTTCATCCTAGTTTGGGAATCATCGGCAGTACGCACCCACTGGGATTCGAACCCGGGACCTTCCGGTTACAAGGCAACCTCGTATACCATTCAGCCACTGGGGCCCGATTCAATGGCTCGTGAATTCTAACTTCTACTAATTCGTGATTTAGCGCGACCCCAACCATTGTCGTTGGTGGGACATCCATCCACACACGTGACATCTAATTGGACCTCACTGGTCACGACTTCTCACTAGAACTCAGGAAACTCCAACCTGTAGCAAGTCACTAGCCTTGTAACCGGAAGGTCCCGGGTTCGAATCCCAGTGGGTGCGTACTGCCGATGATTCCCAAACTAGGATGAAACAGCAGCTGCCCAGTACTCCCTGGTTTTCAATGGTTCTCTAACTGATATCAATCCGTGATCAACCCGTAAAACATAACTAATCCTTACAAACCAAACTATAAAAAGTTTTACTTATGTATTGTTAATGTCTGATTTGCTTACTTGTTGAGAAGTGTTAAGAACTAATTCCAACTGAATTCAAACAGCACCGCAAATGACAAAAACAACGAAACCATGGTTATTTTACAGGATGAGGGAAGGGGACTGAGAAAAAATTTATAGAGTCTTTAAAAAAGTTGAAACAACAGGACAATATTTCACCTGACTTGTATGAAACACTAAAACCTGTTGGCACGGTGGCATCGAGGTTATGCAGCTTACCTAAGATTCACAAAAACAGCTTGACACTTAGACTGGTCCTCGATATGTCTAGCTCACCATACCATTCAACTGCAAAACGGCTGTTGGAACCCTTACGGCCGTTGCACAAGAAATGTGAAAAGTAGGGTGAAAGATAGTTTTGAGTCCTTAGAAAGAAATAGAGAATTAAATATGAAGGATAAATACATGATATCACTGGATGTGTCTTCTTTATTCACCAATGTGTCTTTGATGGGAACAGTTGATTACATATGTAATGAATTGATAAAGCAAGGTGTAGAAACTGGAATTGCTGTGTCTTCCTCAAAGGATCTTCTTTTAGGGTGTACAATCAACGTAAACGTTTCGCCCAATAAAAAATGTATAGACAATGAGATGGTGTTGCCGTGGGATCACCTCTATGCCCAATCGTTGCAGATTTTTTCCTAGCGAAACTAGAGAATGGTCCTCTTTAAGGTGTAATATATAATCTTGATTTCTATTGCCGATATGTCCGTTATAAATTTACAGTTGTGAAGAAAGAAGGTGAGACGAAGAACATATTGGATAAATTCAATAAAGAACATCCTGGCATAAGCTTCATTAAACAAGAGGAAGATGAAACTGATTCTATCTCTTTTCTTGACGTCCCAATGACTAAACGAATAGACCGAACAACATGTAGACGTTTGCATAGAAAACCTATTTCCACTGAACAATATACTGACTTTCTGAGTTTCGTACCTCTACAATACAAACGTAATCTGGTTAGATGTCTGGTTCACCGGACTAGAGTTATCTGTTTAAATGAGACACTGAACGAAGAACTCGGTAATACTCGTGATCTGCTAAGTAGAAACGGATATCCGGCCAAATTCTTGAACAAACACATGAACACAGAAAGTAAAAGGTCGGAAGTGCCTTTTGTTCCCCAAAAATCATTCTTCCCAACATTACAATTCATGGATGGTCTCAAAAGTGAAATCTTATCACAACGTCTGAGAAGGGCCTTCAGAAGGACTTTCAACGCAGCTAATCTACACTGTATATTCACTAGCCAACCAATACTTACTTCAAGAAATAAAGACAAACTACCCTGTTTCGCCTCTTCGATGAGTATTTACCAGTTTAACTGCTCGTGCGGAGGAGCTAGTTACATTGGGCGTACGATCACGCAAGTTCATCATCTAATTTCTGAACACCTCGTATCTCCGTTTCGCAAAGATCCGAATAAAGCTATACGCAGCTCTATACTAGCTCATCTCGTGGATTCTAGACGTCAAGTTGACTCTAACAAAGCTTTTAAAGTTATATATCGTATATCATCTAACCTCTTGCATGGTCTACGAGCACGACTTTTACATACAGTAGAGGCAATCGGAAGTTATCTGAACGAGCCGAATCTGTATGTTCGAAAGAAATTTGTATAGCCCCTTTCTGTGTTATGGCCAACTTCACAATATGTATTAAGTTTTTCAGAATGTAACTATCTTTTGACTTTGTTAATTTTTACACTTGTAGCTAATTCTATTAACTTGTTTGTATTGTACGTAATTCCACTGAGTCATCCTATTTTGCTTAGTCATTATTATCTTACAAATTTCTTGACTATGTAATAATTTTTTGCTAATCCCTACGAATTAAATTACCTCGAATTCGGTAATTAATTTTCACCCCTCCCTCCTCCAAAACTTAGATATCTTGTTACTAACATTTGTTAGTTAATTGTTTTGATGACTTTTAACCTCTTAACTTCCCCACCCCGCATATCTAAAACTGATTAACTAAAATAACCACTTGATTGGTAAAACATTTTGGTTTAAAACACTAGATATTAGTGTAGAGCTGATGATGAGAGACTAATTGAAAAGGAATATATTTCTTCGCCCAATCTGTTGTTTTTTTCTAAATGCGTAAGTGGGAATTTGGAAACTACTGAAATCGTCTGGGGTGATTTTAGTTACATACAAGTAGTATAAAATGTGTTCAATTTTATTATGATCACCGACGGCATGTAGATGCAGTCGGCAACTCGTTTCTCTATCAGATAACTTTTTTATACGTGTTTAAGGTTCTGAAGTGATAGTAAGTTAACTTTCAATATCTAATATTCTCATTCCAGTTCCTAAGGACAATACATAAGTGCTATAAAACAAGAAGTGGCGTAAAACATCTGTCATTACACAGCACTGATGTTTCATAAACAATTTTTCAATAGGATTATAGTCATTTCATAAACTTTACGTGTTTAACAGTAAAAGTGCTTGTGTATAGCTGACGATAATGAAATTCTTCACATACTGATTGTTCGTCATTCTTAGTTCTCATATGTTTGTATATGTGGGGTAAAATTAACCATTTCCTATGCGTTTTTGTATCATACCTGCTCTTTTCTTGTCCAGAAGGTTCTCCGAAGTTGAATTCCCATTTCCGATGCATTTCATTATAACATTTAGTGGGCCGCTTTATTGTTATATTGTACCTTAGTTACCTGTATGTTTTTACTTGGTTTCAGATCAATAAATATGCTTATTCTGGTGGCGGGGATACAGTTGCTGAACATAGAGAACGTGGCGGAAATTGTGATATCGATGTATCTTTCCAGTACTTACGATTCTTTCTAGAAGATGATAATAAATTAGAGCAAATACGTCAGGTATATATTGAAGAACGCGTTATGTATAGGTGACACTTTTCTCATGTTGTTAGGCTGATATGTAGAATTTAAGTCCGATATAATTATGAGGATTGATTATTTTAGAAATTGTTTTTCAGGTTAAACAATCTTTGGCAGTTTATATCCCCATCACATAAATGTGATTTATAGACTCAGTTTTGCACTTTTCACCGAAATCTAAAGAACTTGGGGTTAAGATAAACTATAGCAGTCATGTATTTATCCTTCACGTTTAATTCTCTATTTCTCTCTACAAACTCAAAACTATCTTTAACGCCATTTTTCATGAGTTTCTTGTGGCTCTGAAACATGGCCAATACGCGTTGAAGACATGAAAAGGTTGACTGCTTTCGATCATAGATGTCTGCGATCTCTGTCTCACGTTAGGTGGTTTCACAAGATAAGTAATGTTGATGTTAGGCGTAGAGTGTTGGGCAAAGAGGGAAAATCAATCGACGAGGCTATAAAGTTACATAGACTAAGATGGCTAGGTCACGTGCTGCGCATGCCTAACCACCGCCTCCCCCGACGGGCTTTGCTAGGTGATATAGGTGAAGGTTGGAAAAGAGCCAGTGGTGGCCAAACAAAAACATGGCATCAATCCATGAAATCCTTGACAGTTAAACTGAGTCAGGTAGGGAGATGCAGACTCCCGGGTTGGGGCCCTCGGGACTCTAGGAATCAATGGCTGGAGACAATAGGTGACATGGCTCAAAATCGTTGTCAATGGCGCAGATGTATTCAGTCTCTGTAATCTTTCATATTCCTTTCTACCATTACCCATTCTGTTTCACTCTTATACTTGTCAAACTCTATTAATTCTCTTCACTCATCTTCGTGTCTACCTCTGTGGGCTATTTGGAACGTGGCAACTCGAACTGCTGCATTTCGGTGCCAAGTTCTATGTTGAATCCAGACAGACAGACGACTGTAAAAATTGTACAAAAAGCTCATGAAAAATAGCGCGAAAGATAGTTTTGAGTCCATAGAGAGAAATAGAGAATTAAATATGAAGGATAAATACTGATATCACTGGATGTGTCTTCTTTATTCACCAATGTGTCTTTTGATGAGAACAGTTGATTACATATGTAATGAATTGATAAAGCAAGGTGTAGAAACTGGAATTGCTGTGTCTTCCTCAAATGAGGGTGTACGATGAACGTAAATTTTCCCTTCACTTCTATAACGAATATCCCCGTAGAGTGAAGACCGTTAATAGGACTTATCTGTCAGTCCATCAACGCGTAGCCACACGAGGAAGCATTTGGAGAAAAAGACGGTAGTCTACCCACCCTCGGCCTTACCAGGTCGTTTATAGGGGTGAACTGACCCAAACCATGCAGAAAAAAATTAGAAGTAACACTTCAAAATATTGGTTTTTCCAAAGAGTATATGCCTGGCACATATACATCTAATCGCTTTTGCACAAAAGATTCCCCATACTCCAGTAGGTAAATAAGTGTTAGAGATATTCAATGCGATGTAAATAACATATGGTTTGGTAGGCTGGAATCTAATTCATTATACTTTGTATATAGAATTTTCTAGAAACATTTGGAAGGGGGACACCCTCAAACCAGTTTTTGTGCTTGTTAGTGCTTTCTCACCTCAAAATCCATTTACTCTGGTTTCAGTGCATCTGAAGATCAGTGGTGTTCGTTGATGAATAGCCGCAAACTAGGGAAAATCAGCTATCTAATGATTATAAATTTACTGTGTGTTATTCTCAGTTTAGTGTCAGTTCGTGAGAAAAGTTATCATCTTACGACTAGTTTTATATTATTTTTGTGTATTTTAATTGTTGGACTCATTAACCTCCTCCTCATCGATTGTTTCACTGGTCAATATGTGTTATAAATCAAAAGCCTGACAACCTGAAGATGTTGCATAGAATACGTCTGGTAATATTAGAGTGACGCTACTTAATTTTCTCATAGTAATATGTATTTTCTCTAAGATTTAATCAGTGTTGCAAGTTCTTCTAAAGTTCTACCGTGTTATTCCCTGTTAACATTGATTCATTTTTAAAATCAATTATTCAGGATTACTCGTGTGGCAAAATGCTGACTGGTGAATTGAAAAAGGAGCTAATAGCGCTATTAACTGAATTTGTTGGTCAGCATCAGAAGAGAAGAGCAACAGTCACAGATGAAGTTCTCGATAAATTTATGACTCCTCATCCATTAAATCTTCCTTTTATATGATGAACACAATATTTATATATCTATTTGTTGTGTATTGAATATTACCCTAATAATATGAAGTGTAACTTTTGTGAATAAATCTGTATGGAATATAATACCAGTGTATGTGCGTGTGTTATATTCGTAGTATGAAGACGTAAACCTGCAACTGTAGAAAATATTCAGGTAAATTAGTTTCATCAACACATTAAAACAATCCAATAAATTCGATTTAGTCAATTTTGTTTGTCCCGTTAATTGACTGGACCGAAATGTTCGGTCTCTGTTGATATGTTGACTCCCAGTAGGGACTCTTGGACGACATCTAAAGATCAGCATGATAGATAGAGTCCACCTAATTTCTGGTTTATGCAGCAAAATACCAACCATCAATTCAGTAACTCTGCTGTGGATGTAAATGATGATAATATATGTATCATTAGTGAAGGACTAAACTTACGTCCTTATGATCATCAAATTAAAAGCCTTCACATCCTATTATGCAAATTCGTAGATTCTCAAAATCAAATTTCCCAAAGCATAAAATCATGGTGTGAAATAAAATTGCTGTGCCGAGAATAAAGAATGCAAAGCGAAAACTGACGCGTTCTTTCCGAAACGGCATACACAAGTAGCCACAGAAAATTAAACAGAAAGAACAGACGTATTTTATATGGCACAACTATTATAATAAAAAAAATGCTTACTGATTAACCTCGAACTAATTCCAAATAACTTGTCGAACAACTGTGAATCATTAATAAACGTCCGACAAATACTTTTTTTAAAACAAACCCTATAGAAGATTAAAAACTGCAACAAGTTATTAACAACCGAAAGCTCATTAGAAAAACCAAATCCCAAAGAACCACAATATTAGACAAAAATTCTGTAAAACAACGAAACAGTGCAACATCCTTTGGAAAAAAAGAACCAACAGGAATAATAACCATTCCGTCCAGAATAAAATTAATTTCACCTCCAACTACAAAGAGAGTAACATAAATATTCTTTCATCAATAAAACACAAATTGAAGAGGGGTTCAAAAAACGTACAGGTGATCGTCAGTTGGTTATTCACAGTGAGTGAGATAGATGACTGTATGTATGCGTTCTCTCCAGTGAATTAAGCAATGAAATACGAAGGCGATGAGATGAGGTTGAGAAGTTGTTCTGTTGACCTGAGATAGATGATGATGTGATGATATGTTGTATATGATGGGAGTGTGAAATACTGAATTGAAGGTGGTGAGTGTATATATGAATATATTGTGATTGGGGGTAAATTCGTGGTGGGCAGACGCTCGTGGCTCAGTGGTCTAGGGGTATGATACTCGCTTCGGGTGCGAGTGGTCCCGGGTTCGACTCCCGGCTGAGCCCGAATTTTCAACAATGTCATCACATCATACAAACCACTGACCACGCTCACTCAATCATCCTAGCTAGCACGGTCACTCTATCCACCACGAAGATGACGAAGCAGCCCCACTCACGACTTCTCCACTAAACACATTCTCTCCTTCTACACAACAACACCACATTCCATCTCACCTATAAACTAAACTAACACTTTTCACATACACACTGAACAAATTCCCACTAGAAATGTAGGGGAATTTTATAAGAGCTCATTAACATTACAATGAGATTTTGAGTGACAATATATTACCAAAAATCAGGAACGAGTTTTATCAATGAAAGGGGTTACTTGGATGGAAAGTTTAAGTCGTCTGCCACGGGAGTATTCACTGTTGGAATTGCGTCTTCTGTGGACCGGTTGTAGAGTTGTTTCCGGATAAGGATAATAGACTCCTACAATAAATCCAAAGCATACAACACGGTTATGAGTTAGACTACCGGAAAATGTTAAGTAAAACTGTGAAGTAAATAATAATAGTAATAACAATTTTAGAATAAAAATAAGGATACATAATATTATGCATGTACGCGAAAAGGGATTTGAATCATGTAAAGTCTGAACGCATATACAAATAGTTTAACAACAAAAATTGAAATAGAAGGGCATGTCAATTAAATGAGGTCGGTTTCTCATTTGCACAAACCATGAACGAAGATTTTTTTAATGTTTAAAGAAAGAGATGTATGTATACACTAATTAAGGAGGGGAAAGAAAACCAAAAAAGGTGGATAGAAAATCGATAGTTTCTGGAAAAACGCAATACCTGTTTTGTGTTGATAGTGATAGTAATCTTTCATAGTAACAGTGACATCAAAGTGTACGAAGAAGTACTAATAGCCATGATAACGTCTAAATGAAAAAAAAGTATTTTTTAGTTTTTTTTTATCAGTCTACAAAATGAACGTTGCGAGTCCGTTTACTGTTTTGCCGACCACTACGTGTTTGATATGGAGGGAGGATAAGACTTGGTGCTGGTGGAGTGGAATCGGATGTTTGATTATTTGATTGTGCAGTTTTCGATGTAGATTCAAAGTCGTTGTTTGTGTAGGTGGGTTTGATTCGATCAATGGAAATAGTCTCTCGTTTTCCATTCTTGTTCACCTTAAAGTGTTTGTCTGAACGTTTAATAGCTTGGAAGGGACCTTTTCTGATGGCGTCGACTCGAATGAAGACGAATTTGCAAGTTTGTTGATCTGATCTCGTCGGGGAGATTGTCGAGGTGCTGTTGGTTGAAGTTGAAGCATTTGTCTAGTTAATCGGTTAGTGAAGTCGGCAATGTTCACGTCTGTGGAATCGGCTGAGGGGACTAGCTGTCCAGGCAAGGTTAGGTTGGTGCCATAGACAAGTTGAGCCGGTGTACATCCTAAATCTTCTTTGATAGTAGAACGGATACCAAGTAAAATCAAAGGTAAGTATTCACTCCACTTAGATGTATCATTCTGCGCCATCAGGGAGCTTTTCAGTTGTCTGTGGAATCTTTCCACTAGACCATTCGCTGCCGGATGATAGGCTGTTGTGGAGATATGTTTCACTCCCAGAAGTCTCGTCAGTTCGCGAAAGAGTGTCGATTGGAATTGAGGACCGCGGTCGGATGTAATAGTAGTTGGTACACCGTAGTTTGACACCCAACGGTCGAGAAAAACTAAAGCAACGTTTTCAGCAGATATGTCGTTTAAGGGGCATGCAATAGCCCAACGAGTAAATCTATCAATCGCTGTCAGGATATGTGTATATCCCTTGATGTTGGCAATGGTCCCACGATATCTATATGGATATGCTGAAATCTCCTTTCGGGTAATTTAAACGTCTTCGGGGTTGTAATAGTGTGGCGGTGTACTTTGGAGCATTGGCATTGGATACATTCTCGTGCCCATCTCCGAATGTCAGAGTTCATTTTAGGCCACACGAAGCGTTCGCTGATCAGTCTGACCGTGGCGCGTACTCCAGGGTGAGAAAGCGAATGTAAATGTTCGAACAATGCTTTTCGGCAACTGAGAGGGACAAATGGACGATTAGTGCCGGTAGATACATCGCAGACTATGGTTGCATCTGATAAGGGGATAGGCACATCTTTGAGCTGTAAGGAAGAGTTTCTGCGGCAGGTTTGGAGTTCAACGTCATCTCTTTGTAATTGAGCCATACGATCAAGACTGATGTCTACCGACGTTTGGAGCTGGTTAATGTCACTTCTTGAAAGAGAATCGGCTACCACGTTCGCATCCCCTTTGATGTACTGAATGTCGGTTGAAAATTGGGAGATATAATCCAACTGTCTGGCTTCTCTAGGGGAGTGTTTATCAAGTGAAGTAGTGAAAGCATGACACAGGGGCTTGTGGTCAGTAAAAATAGTGAAATGCCGGCCCTGTAGTAAGTAACTGAAATGCTTCACTGCAAGATATATGGCCAGCAATTCTCTCCCAAAAGTGCTGTATCGTGTCTGAGCCGGTTCCAACTTCTTAGAAAAGAATGCGAGTGGGGTGACTTCATCTTTTGTTGTAATACTGCCCCTACAGCTACTTGGGAGGCATCTGTGCACAAAATAAGCGACGCTTCGGGGTTGATATGGGATAGCATAGTGACTTTGGATAAGGCATCTTTTGCGTTGCAAAATGATTCGTGTGCTTCAGCTGACCACTGAAACTTTTTAGGATCATTTTTAAGGAGGTCGGTTAACGGCTGGACGATGGAGGCACACGAAGGAATGAAACGCCGATAGAAATTAAACATCCCCAAAAAACGTCTGACCTTCTTGAGTGAATCTGGTTCGGGGAAGTTTTTGATGGACTCTATCTTTTCCTCCGTGGGCGTAATACCATTTGCGGTTATGTGGTGTCCGAGAAACTGTATGGAGGAGAAAACGAATATCCAATTTTTCGGGATAATATAGAAGCCATATTGCTCAAATCGCTGAAATAAGATAGGGAGGTGATCTGAATGTTCTTCAGGTGACCAGCTAGCAATCAAGACGTCATCGATGCATACAAAATCCAAAGCCTGTGTGACCTGATCCATGAAACGGAAAGATTGTGCAGCGATTTATACAACAAAAGGCAAGGGAAAGGTGATATGAATATTCAATGGCCAATGCGTTGCGTTGCTAGAACGTGCATATTAACCACCAAATCATTACTCTTCGATTGACAATTTCGTCAGTGTCCCGTATTTTGTATGAGCCCATTATTTCTCGCCTCATATCCGCTCTCCTCCCTCCCTTGTTATTGATGTCCGTCTTGTGATTGGTCGTCTCCACCACGCACTGATTGGTTTCCTGAATAACCAAGTGACATCGGTGTTTGGTCGATTCGCTAGCTAGAGGAATGAGATCTTATCTCATTTCTCTATCATTCAGACTGTCTTCGTCATTATTGAAATATCGAAGAAGTCAGGAGAGTGGAAGAGAGTGATTAGGTGAGTACAGGTGATCGTCAGTTGGTTATTCACAGTGAGTGAGATAGATGACTGTATGTATGCGTTCTCTCCAGTGAATTAAGCAATGAAATACGAAGGCGATGAGATGAGGTTGAGAAGTTGTTCTGTTGACCTGAGATAGATGATGATGTGATGATATGTTGTATATGATGGGAGTGTGAAATACTGAATTGAAGGTGGTGAGTGTATATATGAATATATTGTGATTGGGGGTAAATTCGTGGTGGGCAGACGCTCGTGGCTCAGTGGTCTAGGGGTATGATACTCGCTTCGGGTGCGAGTGGTCCCG